TGAGACATAGAGTGTTTCTGGTGTTTCTCGAGAAACGTTGACTCGATAACCTCGTCCTGAAACTGTAACTCCGCGGACCCGTTGCATTGCAGACACAAATACGATAAGGGCTATTGTTTGCTGATTCGACTGACTGAGTTATTTATAAATCGACAGAGCCACCAGTATTCAGCAAAGAATTAGGTGACATCTCTATTAGAGAGGGAGAAACGGCTTTTTTTGAAGTTTTCCTAGAGAATAACACCAACTGTCAGATTCATTGGTTAAAGAATGGTGTCGAACTTATTGAAAACCAGCGGTTGAAAGTTGAAAGTCATGATCATGGACGTTATTTGCTCTTCATTGGGGATATAACAGATCATGATTCCGGAGAGTATTCCTGCGTGGCTGAGAATGAGGCTGGAACGGCGATAAGTACGGGAACGATTTCCATACAACGGTCTTGTAAGTATCAACTAGAGCAACCTCAAATTCAAACGTATCTTCCATCAACAAGGTGATCTCACATTTTCATTATCATTATTATACAAATCTGTGATGCCAATCGATAAGGTTAAGATAGTCCTGAGTTTACTGAATGATCTTTCCATTGGAGGAAGAAGATGAAGTGAGATATCTGAAATTATATATGAAGGCGAAGGTAATTATACTAAACGTAATAATAATAAAGTAATAATAGTTATATCAGTTGAATCATTTTCATTTTACAGCCCTTTTGAAAAGCGGTGAAACCGACGAAGATGAAGAAGAAGAAATGGATAGCTCTATAGGTAACTGTTGATGGCCTTTTCAGGAGTTAGTGTTTTTAAAGTTTAAATTGATCATTTATCATATCAATTTTCGATTACCTTTTAAAACTCAAACAGAAATTCCAGTTTTCAAGAAAGAACTCCATGACATCACAGCCAATGAACATGACACCGTTACTCTCGAGGTGATTGTCGATGGCGACTCGCCCTACGAATTGGAATGGTTTAAAAATGCCGTTGAAATAATGGAAAACGATCGTATCTCCGTCGTTAAACACGAAGACGGCCGATTTACCCTCAACATCCGAGAGTGCGAGGATGACGACACTGGAGAGTACTGTTGCGTAGCTCAAAATGAGGCTGGAAGAGTCACATGTGCAGGATGGTTAACAGTTGAAAGTATGCTTCAATGTCTTTCAAGTTGTCTTCCCTTCTAAGCCTGATCGTCGAGCAGCCAAATGAAATAAGTTTTGTTAAAAGCATTTTGAATCGTATCCTACATCCTTTGAAATCTAAGAGCGCACGAGCTTGTAGACGATAAACCCCTCCTGGGGTCTGTTTCTCGAAAGTTCCGGTAACCTAACAGGCCCGAAGCCATGTTTTAAAATCAAAATTTAGAGGATAGGAAAACAGGTTCTGGCACCCAAACTATTCCTTTTTGTTTCTTTAGCTGATACTTTTATTTCATCATTTTCAAAACTTTTGAAATCCCCATCTCGGGACTTTCGAGACACGGGCTCCTGATCACCAAAGCAGGCTAGCTATAGCTATTGAAGTTAAGGACTTCAAATGAACTTGTGTTTTTCCAGTTGAAAGCATCTTGTCAGAGGATGACGAAGAAACTGAGTCAGAAGATGAAGATGAATTTGTAACAAAAGAGTTTGTTACGATCAGAGCAGGCGATGTACAAAAATTCTACTGTATCGAAGAAGAGGTTGGCAGGTATGTTAAACGCGGGAGGGCTATACACCGAATGCAAATATGGCGGACCACTCGGGCGGACCGGGCCGAGCTGCGCGAAGTCGAGGCTAGTTAGGCCTT